GTCTTTATATGCTTGCGCCATCTACCGGTTGATATCTTACATACTTCTTTATTTGCATACTCTACTCAGTTTTACTCAAAAATAACCAAAGAGGAGATAGAAACTACATAACTTGTCTTAATCATAAAATTATATTATAATGTTGTTAATTCTAAATTATTTAGTTAGCCTTAAATTTTGTTACTTTCTCATAGTACTTTCAAGATGAACTTTCGTTTTTGAAAAAAACAGTAACACATGAAAAAATGGCTGTCATTAATTCATAGTGGAAATTTAACATTTGTGTGTGATTTCATTTATATATGTTTGTTTAGTAACATTCAATATTTTCTTCTAATTATAAATAATAATTTGTACAGCTGTTTTTATTTTATTTTTGTTATGTATATTTGTAATCTACATTTCCAGAAATTAGACTTTACCAAAAAATTTTCCATATAATTTAGCAGGTAAATAAAGTTATTATGAAATTAATATTTTTGAATTGTATTTTTAGTTTAATCAACAGAGAACCAGCCAAAGCATTTAAAATGTGCATCCTAACTGTTTAGCAAATAAAACAAGTAAATTTTACCAGCAGTTACTACTATATGCATTGGTCCAATTATCATAAAGAGCAGTACGGATTTATTACCATTATACTTAAATAGCTTTAGAGTGTCTGTATGTGCAATTGTAATAATACAACTAGTTATATCCTTCGTAAACTGCGTATACCATTGTTACAATAAGATGATAAATGTAGCAGTAGACGTTATATTCTTTGATAAAAAGAGACAAAAAGTGTACAGCCAGTAAAAATAAATATGAGGCCTAATCTATCATTCGATTCACTGCTTGTCACTGAGTTATAAGTCATATTTATTGTTTTGTATTTTAAATAGCTTGTCTACTGAATAATTCATAGGATTCAGTTAGTAGTATAAACATTACATATTGGTTTAAATCCTATAGAATATATAGGTTCACTGTGGTTGGTAAAAGGCAGCACAAAATACTACAGATATTAGCTTACCTAATGGGAAGAAAGAAGTGTAATTATCATAACTTTGGGATATGCCAAGTATTTCATGACATTATACGGTTATACTTTTGGTTTTGAAGAGTTGTTTTTGTTTTAGACAAGTGAATCTTGTTTAGTTTCTAATATTATTAAACAAAATCAGAACTCTAATGAATAATTCTTTCTGGATAATTTTTTCTAGTACTTCTGGCTCGTCTGACATAACCTTTATATATTTGTTTATATGAGCGTTGACTTAGCATATATCGAAAGCAACAACTTACCTCTTTGGAAAGAAAATATTAAGGTGTGAGTTATATGTGAAAATAAGCAAACACGTAACTAAAAACCGTTATGGCGCTATGCAGGCTTACATAAAATTCTAGCACCTGTCGTTGATTTTATATATTTGGTTTTAATAATTCTTAGCAGATGGCGCAGCAACCGCAAAATGGGACCATCTGATGACTATATTGGTTTGCATTACACAACCTTAATATTTCTGTAACCAGTTTTTTTGTATGAAGTTAAGCACAAAGCAACACAATGGGCTATCTGTGCTCAAACCCAGATTCTAGCGTTGTAAGTCCGCAGACATACCGCTATACCACTGGGGGGGGGGGTATTTCTGTAACAATATATTTTATCAAAAATTATAAAAATAGGTAACTTTTGTGTTCAAATAGTTAATAATTTCTGAGCGATGTAAATTTAGTTAAATAAAACCTAAACATTCATGGGCAACAAATAATCGTTAACGAATTATTAGTTCGAAATACTCTACAAATCTTCAAACAATTTTTGTTTTTAAAATCTTTGAATGCTAATTGTTTTACTCCAACCAGAACATTGCCTTTTTTGTTTATTATAAATGAACAACTAACTTAAGATCAATAATATAATTTTTCTGATATCTACAACTTTTATGCTTATGAAGGAGAATAATTTCAAAGGTAAATATCATTATATTTCGATATTGCCTTTAAAGAGAATATGTACTGAAATTCTCAGATTTTCTTCATTCACAGGAGTTTCCAACGATTCGAATAAAAATTATAAAAGTTATCAAAAAAAAAAATGACCAGCGAACCAGAAACGAGAACCAGATAGACGTTTTCAATAATATTTTGTGTCCCAGTGGATCAGCGGTAAGTTTATGACCTAAGAATGCTAAAATCCGGGATTCGATTCCTCGCGGTGGACACAGTGCAGATAGCCTATGGTGTAGTTTTGAGCTGAGAAAAGCAACAACGGCATCAGATATACTTTCATGACTCAGAATAAATAGCACGTCCGCAGTTTTTCGGTATTTCAATTGAAACAAACCATAGAAGAAAGAGCAGCATTTTATTTTAGTATTAATATTAAACTTTCTGTTTAACCTCAGGAAAATGTTAATGTAAAACTGAAATATTAATATTTGATCCACACTTTTCTACTTTTTCGATACTAAAGTGTCATTCACTGTTTCAAAATATTTCATTAAAATGTGGTTACAAAAAGCCATCATTTCTAGATAGCAAATATTACCAACTTATTAGCATATATTTCAAGCTTTCCTCACTGTTTAACAGTACAGATTTTATAAGAGGCGTGAATTGCAAATCTTTGTATTTCTGTCTTTTTTTTTATAATTTATCAAACATGGGGCATGGCCTGTTGGATAAGGCGCTCGACTCGCAATCTCAATCTGAAGATCGCGGGTTCGAATCCCAGTCCCCCCAAACATTCTCGTCCTTTCCAAGAGGGAAGGCTGTGAAGTGGGTTGCATCCTTGACGTAAAAAACAGCTTTAGAAACGATGACAGAAAAAATTAAACATATATATATTGATTTTCGTCTTTATTTAACAAACGAATCCAACAGATGAAGCATACATGACAATGAAAACTTTATGCCTTTTCTTTCTACCGGACGTGTTAGTGCTAAATGGCTTTTGACCTGACCCCTTGTATTTTTTTCTGCTCTTTCTCCCTCCCCTCTCCCGATTGGTTCTTTTTTTACTCTTTCCAGTGTTCCGACAGACTATTGAAAAAGTTAAAGGAAAAAAAAAAGATAAACTTTTAACGTTATTTTAGACAAACGAAAGGATCCTGGTGTAAAATATAAATGCCCATAGTTCTAATAAAGAATGTCTGTTTCTGTAATTAAATATACCATTTTTTATGAATGCAACCTAGTCATTTTAAATGCAACTCCTACTCTTTAGTCGGTGCAGTTGATGACGTTTCTATGTTTTTACTGTAATTTACAACCCAGTGTCTCAATGGTATGTTACTGATCTTTCGTTTTTTAGTCTTTTTCAGTTGATGACGTTTCTTTGTTTTTACTGTAATCTATAACCCAGTGTCTCAATGGTATGTTACTGATCTTTCGTATTTTAGTCTTTTTCAGTTGATGACGTTTCTTTATTTTTACTGTAATCTATAACCCAGTGTCTCAATGGTATGTTACTGATCTTTCGTTTTTTTCTTTGGTTCATAATTCCTAATTCATTTAGACTCCATATTGTTATTGTGTATTCCCACATCGTTAAATGGTGCCTGATGGATCATGTGTTTATAAAGTCACAGTATATCTGAAAATTAATTCCCAAAACACAATATTTTTTGTGTGGATGAAAACATGCACAGAAAATCGAATTGCACAGTGTTGAGGCTTCAATTTCTTTTTTATCTCTGGCAGTGACCTTCAATACTATGAATATGCATGAGTGACCCAAGGGCGCTGAAAAAGGTGAGGGAGGCGTTTGCCGCACCTCTGACTTGGCAGTTTTTCTAGTTTCTTTTGAATATTTTTGTTACATTACGATGTTATGCTCCATTAATATTACATGAGAGTTAGGTACTGCTAATGTTAGATTAGTTTTGAGCCAAACGATGGCGCTGCGGCTGGTACTTGCTAATTTGTGTTGCGAGAGCTCACTATAGGTAAAGTTTTGCGTACACGGCTATGACCTTAATAGACCTACGAACTGTATACAGTGAAACACACATATAATACTTATATACAAGTACATAACGCAGATCGTTTCCTTACCTTGACGCATTTTTATTGGTCGACAACATTTGTAACTTTGTTTCATGCCGTATTTTTTTTCCGGAGTTTCCATTGCCACTTAGATCGCACATAAAAATCATGCAAATAAAACATTCGTTTTAGAAAAAAATTTTGTGCAAATTCATTTCAATCAGTAATGGTATTCAACTTTAAAAAAAATGAAATGATACTAAATTTTTTGTACTGGTCACTTAGCGTTATACTAGCAGAACTGAGTTATAGCAAAAAATATCCATGAAATATTTACACTCCCTTGCGCATGCGTAATAACAGACATTGCCTTATTCTTTTTTTTTTTTACATGGGTGACACATTATTATAGCTCCTCGTGAATGTGCTTTAAGCAACCAGAAGTAAAACATGTAGACGGAATAGGCATACTGTAAAGGGTAAGAAAGATGACCACTAATCTTTCTCATTACAGCCTCTTCTTCCAACATGTAAATAGGCCTATTTTCATTCATGTCATAAAACACACGTGTATGTTTGATTTCGAAAAATTGACACGTCTGAGTGAAATATATCCTACAGCACGTACAAGGAAGACTGTGTTTGGCAACTAGCCAATAGTCGCGAGATATTGTACCTTGATAAAGTGAATGCAAGTACTTAAGGGCAAAAAAAGTTTTTTTTTTAATACACATATCTTCGAAACCAAACTTGTCCACATTTAAAATGTTTCAGAGCATCTACTTAAAATTGTTTTCACTTTTACTATTATAATCCCCTCGTTTACCTCGGAAAATATGTTTAGACCCATTTCATATGTTAGTTATTTTACTTCTTTTGCTTGTCTTATTTTGTAAGAATTCGGGGACTGGGGTGGGGGAATCATATCGGTACTTCACTTAGACTATCAAGCAATGCAATGCGATTTTTTAAGGAACTACAAATACGGCCAGATATTCACTTAGAATGCCTTTGATTTTTATTCGCCTATTCATGTTTTATATATCGATTTGATATTTAATGATGTACAAAAATATACAAAGGCAATGAAATAATAAATTATATAGCACCGGAGTAATATTTAATGAAAGAAAAATTTAAGAACATAATATTATATCACAGTCATCCTGGTTCTTAAAATAATAATAATTATGGAACATTGCAGTTAGCTTCACTTTATATTATACAACATTATATACACATTTATATGGCACTTAGTGGAAGATCTTATAGTCTTATTGGTACTGCAGTTCCTTCTCTGAACTACCACGGTCTCCATACTGTATCAGATTCTTGCTTTTCAAGATTGTAGGAAGGGACGGGAGAAATGGGTTCGAACACTGGTATCGAAGACGAGACAGTAGAAGTGTGCGTAAAAGGACTAGGGCTTGATTCTGATCGATCACTGGAAGCAGGGCTCAATATTCCAGATGACCCCAGAAGACTTACTGGACTGGAGAGAGCAGTTGAAACGGCTGGTGAGTATTTACTGAACTGATTATTCAAGCTGTCTCGCGGAAGAAGAAATGCTATTTCTCCGGTCGGAAGACGGTATGGGACGAGGCGAAGACTATCGTACAACTTGTTACTTCCGGTTGCAACAGTCGTCGGAGTAGAGGGAACTTGGATGTGAACTGGATGCATAGATGACATATTGTAACTGGCACCAGAAGGATGTGTAAGGCGATCGTTTAGGCCAGACAAACAGTCAGCTAGATGATTTAAAAGACGTTGATGGACAGATGGGTCACTACCGTCCACTCTACTCAGGTAATGACCGACTTCACGTGCACACTCGTTGAAACCGGCTCTAAACTTTGACAAGGCCGAAGAGTCATTTTCAGAGCGAGCTGCCATTTGCTGACGTTGCATATTTTGAAGGTGCTTTACAGTCATTTCCAAAATGTCTGCCTTCTCTAATTTTGAGTGACGAGCGTTCTGAAATAAAGCAGTAAGATAATAAGTATTAAAGTAAGAAACAACAATGAAGATGCAACTTTAAACAATATAATGATGTTAAAAAAACCTAAATATATTTCTATGATTGGTTATAGTACATGCCACTAAGTTTAAAATAACTACAAAAAAACAGCCCCTTAATACGTGTGTCCATCCTCTCCCCCACAATGAACCACCGAAGCGATATTTTTTTTTTTACTTAAGCAACATCTGGCTTGCCCATTGATGTGGCCTCGAGATCCGTGGGAAAATTTCTCAACTAACAGAGTATTAGTTCCGCTAGAGTACGCGATCACACAAAGCATACGTCATTTCCCGCGTCCCGCCGCATATCAAAGGATCTCTCCTTAGTACGTGGGCGAGCAGATAATATTTTTTTTGATTTTAAGAAGTAATGACTCACGCTACTATTGTGAATTGTTTACAAATGGCGAATAGTAGAATTTAGTGTACGAATGACACCCAGCCCAGCAGAAAACGACTGCTAACAGCAAGGAACCCTATTAATGACGCTAATCATTAGAGGTTCCACAATTTGTGTGTGTGTATATCAAAGATTTATCACATTCTGCACTTCTACCCAATTTGTTACGTAGATTTGTCTTCATTAATTTTTTCAAGATGTAATTTATGTAGCTATTGATCAGCTATGAATGATTTACCTGAACAACATAATAATTAATATAAAACTAGGAGCCACTACACGTGATTTTTATCCATAGTTTAATTTATGTAGCTATGAGCTCACTTTTGATCAGCTATTAATGATTTACCTGAACAACATAATAATTAATATAAAACTAGGAGCCACTACCCGTGATTTAAACTCAAACTAATGTTAGATAATGGATTCATGATGTGGAAACCGAAGTTTAATAATGAAGACGAAGACGGTTGATAAAACATAAAACATTTTATTTACAAGATTTGAACGTTTCGGAATAACTTATCATTTTTGTAACATAATTTTCACACTTCACTGAAGATGGAATAAGTTATTCCGAAACGTTCGAACATTGTAAATAAAATATTTTACGTTTTACTACCAGTCTTCATCTTCATTATTACTGTTAGATAAAATATAAAGTAACAAATTTCGCTTACTTACATCTTTGTTAAGAGCAACCAGGATCAGGTTTTTCAGCTCCGCAAGGCTGTTATTTATACGTGCACGCCGCCTTTTTTCCATAATTGGCTTGGTGCTCTGTGAAAAAAAAAAGAAGTTAAACAGCTGTTAATAGAAAAAGTTTGTGAAACAGATTAACAAGTATTGTTTGTTCGATTAAGGCAACGTCAATTACAATAAGATAATATATTGTTACCCCAAATTGAAACACTATTTATTCTAAAACTCTTCAAATTGTTTCAAATTTAAGACTGCATATGATGTTCAAAATAAATTAGAATTTTCTTTAAGCAGCAAGATATTAGATTTTTAGAAAACATGAACATAAATTAAACCGTTACTTACCCTTCGATTTTCACTAGTTTTCATTGATTTTTCAGACGGCATTTTGTTCATGAAAAATCTCAAATATCTATAATATAATAATCCCAGGTGACACGAAAGAGTGTGTTGGCTTGTAGCCAAAACTAATCTGACGGTATGTAGCAATTGGGTAAGAGAACGTGACTGATACGATGCGCACACAAGCACGTGGCAAGACAAACTGTGGGAAAATACTACAGAAGCTACATTTTATTGCTCGCTGAGGTCAACGAAGCGTGTATCGGCGGTAAGCATGAGATACGAAGGGGCGACACTTTCCCACGCTGTTCTGCACCAATCATAACGCAGGCACGCGATTTTGTTGATAGGTGTGATTGCAGCAGCCTTACTACACGTGATTGCTGACTGTTCGTGGAACATGCCAGTGCACATTTCCCCCCTCTCTTTCCCTACCTATGAAAAGTCAGAAGCCCCCTTCAACTTGTAAATCAGAGCACCCAGCTAGACATCTGCTGGGGCGTCTGCAGTACACGCGACAGAGCTTTTTATAAACAAGCGGAGGAACGCGCCTGAGTGTGGGAAAACTCCGCCTTCCAGAAGGAAAGAGCCTGAGGACAAGCTCGTTGCGTATCGAAACAACGTGCCGCAGCATTAAAAGCAACCGGTTCTGAAACAAAAATTTCAGCACGCATGCCTCGCACGTGGGCTTTAGTTTCACGGCACACCCAAGCTGTATCTAAATGTCACTTAACTACGGATGTGTGTCACTCGTTTCTCCCAATCACGTAAACGTATTTATTACACACTGCAGATATTTCGATGAAAGTTGATTAAATATCCTTTAATTGTGTATGACGATTATTGACAAATATCTCAACCAAGTCTCTTTTTACATTAAAAAAAAAGAGTTCAAAATCGCCATCTGTTGCTTAGAAATTCAAAGTGAAGTATTTTCTATTTACGAGAACATGTTACAAATAGCATCATTATTTTTACCCTGATTAACATGATGATGTCAGGTGTTCATCAGTTGCCAGATAAATTCCTCCATAACTATGGTTAATCTAGCCTGTCGCATATCAGATACAAATGCGAATCAAAATCTTGTAAAACTGACTTCAATTATTTGTATTAATACAGTCTTCCTGTTCAGTTATTTTGTATCATATTTAAATTTACCAATAGTCGATTTAAAAATAATAGTATTGTTCCAATAAAACAATAATTTCATCTCGTCAATAAAATACATAAAAAAAGAAGGACAACGAACTGATCATGTATTCTCGACAGACGGATAAGTGTTTAAAATATCACTCCATCGACTCTCCAGATAGCAAGTGCTTTTCCGATGTAACAACCTAATTAAATAGAAAATGCTGAGAGGCAAACAGTTCTAAATGGAGGAGGGGATGAGAGAGTAAGAGAGAAACCAAACTTCTGTTTCATTTTAGTCGTGGGAACCTGGCTGTAGCCATTGTGCATCGATGACCCCGTTTCGCCCTGGTGCACCTCACGTTACATGTTAGCTGCACATCGAACTGCGCTCACTTATACACGTGCCTTCATTGTCCACGTCACACTCGGTTGTAACCCACATTCCATCACTGTACTGTTAGAAGGCTATAATAACCCTATTCAGCCTAAAAATAAAATGGTAACTCTTGGTGAGCTTTCTTATGGTCTAATCTCTTTCAGTGTATGGTAGAAGGTTTCCATTCCCCCTTCCCTTCTCCGATGCTCTTAATTCCTACACTTTAAATCTGCTCCAAAGTAACGTCATTCACTCAAATAGCTATAACACGCGATTCAATTTTAGCGATTTCAAACAAGCATATTCTCGATGCTAGACTAAAATATGATAGTAATTTATTTTTAATAATCATATAGCCCTCTCTCGCTGGCTCAGTGGTAAATCTGTGAGCTTATAACGCAATAACTCGGGTTTCGATACTCGCGATGGGCAAGGCACAGATAGCCCATTAAGTAGCTTTCTGCTTAGCTACAAACAGAACTAATCATAGATGTGTTATAAAAACTCTCTCTGTAGGGCCTTTTGCTGTTTTCTTAATAAAATATTTGATCTGAGAACTAACATTACGTTTATAATATTTATCTATTGAAATCTTCTGAGCCCCCAGTGGCACAGCGGGATGTCTGCTAACTTACAACGCTAGAAATTGGATTTCGATACCCGTGGTGGGCAGAGCACAGATAGCCCATTGTGTAGCTTTCTGCTTGACTTCAAACAAAACTGTTGAACCAGAACCAACTGAGAACACACACACACACAAACAGTGATATGGTTTAGCCATTACTCATTTGACATCTCGGGTTATTATTAATAATTAATGTCAGCCAAATGGTGTTGCATTTAAATCCATTTCAATTGACAATTGTTTGAATAAATATATTTTAGAGCTTAGATGAAAGAACTCTACCCTCAAACGTTTATCAAGTTACTAAACAAGAATTTCAGCAAATATACTTTTCTTTTTTTATTGTCTTGTTTATATTTTACAATGGAATTAAAAATGCAATCTGCACGTAATATCAGTGTTCTGCTGTCAAATATTACAGATATTGTTAGAGTCACCAAAGATACTACACACAATAAAAGGATCATTTATATTTCATAATTAATAGTTTAAGGAAAGTTATTTCATACTTAGATTTGCTTGTTATTAAGCGCAAAGCTACACAATGGACTACCTGTGCTGTAGCTACTGCGGGTATCGAAATCCGATTTTTAACGTTACAAACCATCGGGGGAGGGGAGCGTATACGTATTAGTATTACACCACACTTGTTGTCTTTCTGACTACACTTGGGTCAGAATCTGGGGTGCACGTATGTTTCTTGAACAATATAATTGTGCAACATTTTGGATATCTTCACTTGCCACCAGGGAGCACAATAACAAAAACATAGCGAAAAACGTTTGTACCACTGAACCTTAACTACGGCTTCATTCATAATCTTCCATATTTTATACTTGAGGTAAGTTTTAATTAGTTTCAGCGGGTAGTAATTACTGTTAAAAGTTAAATAACTTGTCAACTTGAGTGCTAGATCTGCCAAATAAGGTTCTGTTATAAAAAATCTTGAACTTTATTTTTAGGCTTAGCCAATCGAGATTAATATATATCAAAAAAGAAACGTAATGTGCCTAACATTTTACTACACTTGTTTGGTACTAAAGAAAACTCGCGCTTCAGTAATGTGACATGTTACTATCCCTAAATATACTATGTTGGGTTCTGCAAGATTTCTATAAATGTTTAACATGCTGGCTACTTAATGTCTGCCCTAGCCATTATTAAATCATAATCGAGTTTACTATTTCCCAAGTTATCATATATTAATTCAACCCCTAACGAATAAGGAATATACATAATATTAAAATATTTTAAAATTTGGAGTTAAAGAATTACGAACATATAGAACAATTGTTGGCTGAAATTCGTTTTCATAAAATGTACAGATTGCGCGCAGTACTAGGCTTAAACTGTGCAATTCATTATTTCTGTAATTGCATATGTTTCACAGGTTTATAATATTTTTGTCGGTTTCACAGTGCCTGGATGTCGAGTTAAGATTACGTAGGTATGTTGCTTGTAGCTTGGTTTTAGATGTTTCATGCTATTAGAAAGCTCCTTATCTTATCCTACTAACTGGTAATAGTAAATCAGTAGGATAAGATATCATATCCCACTAATTAGTAGGATGTATCTTATCCTACTGAGTAGTAGGGGTATCATATCCCACTGACTAGTAGAAGGATCATATTTCACTCTAGTATGAGTATCTTATCTCACTAACTACTCAGGGGTATCATATTCCCCTAACTAGTAGGAGTGTCTTATTCCCCTAACTAGTAGGAGTGTCTTATTTCACTAACTAGTAAGAGGTATCTTATCCTATTGACTAGTAGGGGTGTCATATTTAACTAACTAGTAGGGGTATGTTATCTCATTAATTAGTCAGTAGTATCATATTCCACTAACTGGTATGGGTATCTTATCCCATTAACTAGTAAAAGTATCTAGGATAAGATACCCGTACTAGTTAGTGGAATAAGATACCCCTTACTAGTCAGTAGGATAAGATGCCTCCTACTAGTTAGTGGAATAAGATACCCCTTACTAGTCAGTAGGATAAGATACCCGTACTAGTTAGTGGAATAAGATACCCCTTACTAGTCAGTAGGATAAGATACCCGTACTAGTTAGTAGAATATGACAACCCTACTAGTCAGTAGGATAAGATACCCCTTACTAGTTAGTGAAATAAAATACTCCTACTATTTAGTGGAATATGATACCCCTGACTAATTAGTGAAACGTTACTAGTAGGGAGTAACGCCTGATATTCACATAATCCAAATGATATTAAAATCGTGTGACATATTTTAACCTTTTTTTTTGTGTATAAAATAAACAATATTTTGAGGTGTTTTAATAACGGGGAACTTATATAGAGTAATGATCATTGCAAAACACTGGAAAATCTTATATCAAACTTTAAGATGTGGGTGAATAGAATGATTCAACAAAATGACGAAAGTATGTGTATGTTACATATCGCTTTTCTTTTTCACCAAAGGTGAAATTCGTTGGTCGGATCCTCTGCTGTGGACTGGTTTCGCTTATTCAAGGCTTAGCAGCACAGTTTTGGGGAAACAAATCAAAGAAATACAGTTAGGCCTCTTAGAATGGTGATATGTACATAATTATATATATATACAGATGATATTTTAAGTTTTACCTTTGGTGAAAAAGGAGTAGAAATCTGTAACATACACAAAGAATCATTAAATAGTTGGTCCGCTGAATAATATCGAATAATGAATTAGGCGCAATAACATAATATTATTCATACACCTAAATTAGTTTCGGCTATTCTATGGTGAATTGAAAAGGACTCAAAACTCTCATAAATCTTATAAAATTATGAAAGGTTTCCTGAAAATGTGGGACCAACTCATGAAAGAGATGAATAAATAATTTTTAACGTAACAAATAATCGCATAAAAACAGGTGGGAATCCTAAATAGCCACGGCACTTGAAGTTCTTTGAGGCAGGGTTAGAGTAAATTAATCTATGAGATCTTTTTTCCACATTTTTTATTAGCTATATTTTTGTGCGCGTATATTCATCAGGATCTCTACCAGCCTACCTTCAAACGGAAATTATTTTAGGCAGGATTAGAGTAAATTAATCTATGAGACCTTGGCCGCGGTCAAATACATCAATTGAAAGGGTTTGACCTCCTGAGTCCAAAACTGTAATTAGATTTCAAATCCATCAAGAGATGACAGAGCTATAAGCTGAAAGTTTGTACTTGAAAAAAAAACACGTTACCGTTCTACGAGCCGATATGCCGCGGCTAAAAAGGAGGAAATATACTTTAGAAACCTTGTGTTTATCACCATGATTTCTCAGCCACTCAAACTATGATTTTACTTTTAACAGTTACCTCCGAAATAAAGGAACAATGCTTCATGTTGTCACCATCCCTTCACTTTTAA